GCCTACCTCCTACACTCGGCTTTTCTTTGTCCTTCAAGGAGACTCCCGTATATAGCTTAACCACCTTACTCACAACAATTATTAAAAAATAAATTTTAAAATTAGATTTATGAAATGAAATATTTTAGACTAAGAAAAATGGGAAACTTGTCACTTTTTTATATTAAAAATCATATTTAAAATATAAAAATATTAATATATATCCAAGGTTAGGTCGTTCAATTTTGGTCAGTTTACAAATAGCCAAAGTGAAACTGATCCAACTTGGTCGAATAGTTTTAACCAAAGCTAACATAAAATACTAGAAAACCAACCAACTCGAGTTGAGTTGATTGGGTTGATCAGTTTTGTAAGTCTGATGAATAAACCTAATTGAAATTAATTATTGTTATTTTTGTATTATACAAAAATTATTAAAAGTAGTATATAAAACATGAATAATTATTAAATTATTTAAAAAGTTGAGAATATAAAACAATTGTATACTCTTATATGTTTCTATTAGGGTCATTTACTAGAACACATCTTATAGTTTTATATGTTTACTTAAACCTACCTTATAGTTTTCATTTTACTAAAATATCTCACATATTTTACAATTTATTTACTTAATCAACCTTTTATTAAGGAGTGTTTGGTTTGCCATTAGGCCTATGATTTTTTATTCTAAAACATACCCTTAACACTTTTTTATACAAAAAACAAAATTGGCCAAATATAACCAATAGAGTGGTTGCTCGTGTCTTATCAAGGGCAAAATGGTATTTTTATTTCTATTTTTTATTAAATTTATTTAAATGGACATTAGGGTCAACGTTGTCATTTTCCACTATCATCTAATGGAATATTGATTAAATCCATTGCAAATTATAAGTGGTGTTTTAGTAAAATACTAACTATAGGGTAGATTTTTAGTAAATCCATAAAACTATAAGGGTATTTTAATAAATAACCCTTTCTATTATTTATCTTTTGCTTAATAAATCCCGTGCATCGCACAGGTCCCCATTAGTATAAACATAAAATGAGATTAATTATATGCAACTTGCCTATCTAGAATCTAGACCAAGCCTAACCCATCATAACCAACAAACACTACCATACACATACTATTATTAAACCAACTTGAGTCCTACCCCTCAAACCCAAATCCAAACCCCCTACATCTCCACAATCTGGCCCAAGCCCATGACCAAGACGAAATCTAAGTCCACACCCCTAGCTCAACCCACTAATTCCCATTTCTTTTTTTTTTTATAATTTATTTTAATAAATCAAGTTACATAACAAATGCATATTGCTGAACAGTTGTTACTTTTATGTTGATAAAAAGTAGCTATTAATATAAAATCAATTATATTTTAAATTACATATAGAATATAGATTGCTTAACATGGGCTTGTGGGGCCAGTTATTACTTTTATGCTAATATAGAAGTAAATTCAATATCTCCAATCATATTTTGAAATCTTAGTAACTATTACATGAACATGATCAACCTTTAATGCTTGCCTAATTTATTTATTCAGTCATATATGCACCTTTTGGTTATCATCATGTTTCCCTTTATCCATTAAGAGAGAGATGCCACACAAGAAATCATTCTACAGGAAATGAGGAAAATTGTATTTGGAATTAAGGTTTTAAATGGCTATAAGCATAGTTGAGGCTTAATGGCCCATAAAGGTGAGGCCAAAGCCTCAAGATGTTGCAAGGCATAAGCCTCAAAGCTTAAGAATAGAATCAATTAATGTTTATAGATAGATAAAAATAACATACAATGTACTAGGTTAAAATAGTATAATGTATAAATATCCAAAAGATAAAGTTTATAAGCAATAAGTTTTACAGTTTAAACATTAAATAAAATAATAACTACTGACTAACAATTATAAATATTTTACATTTCGTGTTTCAAAATATAAAGTTCTAAAATAATTCAAATAACCAATTTAGAAGAAAGGAAACATATGAAGAATTATCCATATAATTGGGTATTGGATTTATGATCATTCAATTAACAAAAGAAATGAGAAAAATAACAAACTTTGGATGTTAAAATTTAGAATAATAATAAAAAAAATCTCACTTGATATATCAAAGAGAAACTAAGAACTTGATTGTTTGTTTTTAACTCTCCTAAAACACTAAGAATAACTAATAAAACTTGATTTCCCCTACTGATTTTTCGTTCTTACTCTTTTTATTTATTTGCCCCATAATGACTAAAGTGTTTCTTCAATATATTTTTGAACTATAAAAATGCATAAAATATATATATTTTTTGCATTAAATGTTAAATAATCATTGATTCTTGAGGTTTATGTTTTAAGTTAAGCCTCACAGCTTGAGGCAAAATTTATACGTGGAAGACTCGTGCCTAAAGGCTTTAAGCCTTTTATAACAATGATTAGAATCAATACAATTTTTGAGCATCTAGGGTTGCCCACATTTTGCCTCCTACCATTATAATCAGAATGTGCATTTCCATCATTCTTGATCAATAGATAGGGAACAACCCACAAAAATTAAAAAATAAATAAAAGCATGTAGTCCCGTACTGGTATAGCCAAAGTCGGAAAGCAATAAAGGATATATTAAAATTGCTAGTTTGAGAAAGCCAGATTTATTGGTTATCCACCACCACCTCTCTAACGTAAGGGTGGATTTGAGCCGAGCCGAGCCGAATAGTACAAGACTTGAACTCGGCTCGCCAAGGTAGTACAAGGCTCGAGCTTGGTTCAAGCTAGAACCTTGAGCTCAACCTCGGTTCGAGTCAAAAACTTGTAAGTTCAAGATCGATTTGAAAAAAAAGTTTTATAAAATTAAAAAATTATATATGAAGATATTTTTTATTTGATATTTAAAAAAATTAAGAATTTCAATATTTTTATTATACATAATATTTTCTATAATTTTATTATATATATATATATTTAAGTTCGGCTCATTTATTAATCGAGCTTGTAAATTGGGCTCAAGCTCAGTAAAAACCGAACCGAGTTGAACTTTTTACGAACCAAGCTTGAATAGCTCGTGGCCACCCCTACTCTAACGGATATCTTTTTTTTTTCTATTGAACTCCTCAACACAGACTTTCAAATCACCTATACGAATGAAAACAATGAGTACATCACAAGTGGTTAGAGTCCCTAATCATGTCTCCCTTGGGGGGGGGATATAAGATATCATCTAGAAATCTTCCATTATAATTGTATATTAAATAGTATAAAAAAATTAGACTAAAAATTACCAAAATATTATATATTATTAATAAAATGAGTTAAAATGATATCTGTTAGGGATCTAGGGGTGTAAGTCGAGCGGGTTGGGGCTGTTGGGTCGTGTTTAGGGTCAGCCCAATCTTCCCAACTTGAGCACAACCTGAACTGTAGTTTGATGTACTCAGGTTGGGCTCAGGCCCGGGCCGGACTCGTGTTGATTAATAAATCTGTTCTAAAATTATATATGTATGTATATATGTATATATGTATGTATGCATTTGTGGATTTATGCAAATATGTATGTATATATGTAAATATGTATGCATATATGTTTTTATATAGGTAAATATGTATACAAATGAATATACATACAAATATGTATGTATATATATGTAAATGTGTATGCAAAAATCTACATATATACATATAATGTATATACTATGTAGTTGAAACAGGCTTAGACCAGGTAAAGGCTTAGGAATGCAAACGGATCGAATTCAAATCAGGGTTATTCAAATCCAATCCAATATTGTTCATGCTAGATCTAATCAGATCTAATAGGACTCTATTTGCACTCGAATCCTATCGATAAGTCGGATCTTCAGATATGATCCAACCCAACTTGTTTTCTTTAAAAATTAATGAATTATTAAAAGAGAAAAAATAAAATATACTAATTTAAATTAAGTAAAAACAAAAAATACAAATATTTTTTAATTATTTTCATCATATATATATATATACGTGTTTTTTATAAAAAAACAAATAGTATTAACAAATTTATAAAAATATAATATAAAAAATATATTGATAAATAAATAAATAAATAACATATATATATTATATTTATAATATAAATATATAATATGTATCAAATCGAATCTTCTCAAATCTGATGGGGGCAATCTGAATCCGATCTAAAGATTCGGACAGGGGTGATCCAATTTTGACCAAATAGGATTGAATCTCGGATCATGTTCCAATCCATTTGCACCCCTATTTGGGCTACCTAAGGGATAAGCCCAAACCCAACCCAAAAATTAAAAAAAAAAACTTTAATCCAAGGACTGAAAATCCAAGCCCAATCCGTATAAAATTTCAGACAGATTCAATTCAGGCTCAGGCTGGGCTGGATCCATATTTGATCCATAAAAAAAATAGTAAAAAAATTGAGAATGACTGAATAACCATATTTGAATTTTGAACCAACTAGTAAACCAATAAACGTGTACATGTATTTGCACGTGGCAGTATCTCTAAGAGAACTATTTATAATTCATAAGTAATTTCTCGTTATAAGTGTGTAGTTTCTGAACTATTATTATAAGTGAACAGTTTCTGGTCCATTAAAAGTGGTCAGTTTCTAAAATGAGAGTAAAAGACATTTATGCTCATTATATACTTAGACAAAAAGGGTAGAAAACATCCAATAAAAATTATAAAAAAAGAAAGAGCATTCGCTCTTTTATAGATAATATAGATTATAGGGGTTCTTAAACTACACTCCCTTCAGAAATATTTTTTTTGCAGCTCCCTCATAGTCAACTAATACCCCCCCCCCCCCTATAAACCACATCCTGCCTGTGAATTTGGCATCAATCCGCGGACAGGATTTCAGTCCACCCCTAGGTGGAGCTAGGATTTCCCAAGGGTGGACTGAATCATAAAAACACCGACAGCACTCGAGAATTTATTCTCGGGTGGGTAGCCTCCACTTTAGAGGACATTACATGATTTTTCGTTGCCTTCAAAATCCATGCCATGTGAATGAAGTGCTGATGCAACGAGGAATAATATAGCATAGCATAAATATAACTGTAAGTGTCAAGAATCAAGATGGTGAGATGATTAGATTACACTTGGTGAAATTAGAAATGGCAAACCTCAAAACTGCCAAACTCGTAAAAGCTTAAAGACAGAAAGCCAGGGTACCAGAACATGTTAATACAAGGACAAACGCCAAGACTCTTGTCATTAAAAAACTCCCGAGTCCTGTACAAAAAAAGAAAGTACATGCTGGGTCACTTCCCCGACGTTGGTCATAGTAACAGTCAAATAAATAGCACATACTCAGTTGTCATGCCTTCCAGCCATAACCCAGGTCCCCAGGGTCACTGTTAAACATCCCGTTATCTGTGAAATCATGAGATATATCCTGGACCATTTCAGGCAAATGAAGATTCTGTGGCATATCCGCCATTCTTTCACTGAAGCTGTTATTGCCACCAACCCCTGACGAGATGCTGTTAGAAGCAGCTTTGAAACTGTTGCTCCTGTTTGGTGTCATTCCCACAAAGCTACCGGCAACACAGGTTGCAGAAGCAGCAGCGATGTTCCCAAACCTTAGCCCATTTCCAAACATACCTGCCGTCCCAGCCTTCCCTGGCAAAGCAGCACCCTTGGTGCCACTTATCCCATTTAAAACATTCTCTCCCATACTTCTACTTGCATTTTGCCCACCATGGCACTGCTGCTGTGGTTGCTGTTGCTGCTGATGCTGCATTCCTCCCCCACCGTTACTTACCATGTCCTGTAGCAACTGCTGGATCATGTGTGGCTGCAGGTTCTGGTTACCATGAGAGGATTGTCGGAGGTTCTGTTGGATTTGGTTATTAACATTCAGTGAGTGTGGTGGTTGTTGAGGCTGCTGCTGGTGGGAACTTGATAAGCCATTTACTGGTCCATTTGGCATAGATCCTGGAACCAAAGACCTCTGACCTTGAAATTGAGAAGAGAGTGCTTGGTTAGAATTGTTGAAGGAACATGAAGCCTCCTGATGGAGCACATTAGGGTTTGAGTTCATAGAATTCTGCCTCAGCATATTTTGATAATTGCTCAGTGCAACTGCAGCCTGTGCAGTGCCACTCAAAACTCCATCTCCTACCATGTGGTTACCATTCATGTGGTTGCTTAATCCAGAATGCATTGCCATAAGTTTATTAAGGGTGTTATGATCAGTTGGCAGACCCTGAGCACTTGCTAACTGCTCCATTTCCTGCATTTTCTGCATTTGGAGCTTGGCTGTAGAAGCCTGTCGAGGATAATTCTTCAAGCCTTCTGCAAATGAGGGAACTTCTCATGTTAAGATGGGAAATAAAATTTCTATATCCTCGACAGAATTATAAAAGCATTTTGAAACAATGGATGATTCCCCACCCCCTCACTACCCAGAATTACATATCATTGCAGGCTACCCAATTGATAGAGAGGTTGGCCGAAATAGAGTTCTAGTGGTTTCTATTTGCAAGGTCAAGGATGTCCACAATAGCCACTCTTTCCCTCCCTCCCTACCCCTCCCCCCAAAGGTTCTAAATTACGTAACTATAATCCCCACAGGTCACCCTCATGACCATATTCAACCCAACCTACCTTTTAAACCCTGTAAACAAAGTTTTCAAGGTGCAAGCGAGGCAAGGCAATGGATTTTTTATGTTAAAAACATAGACCCTAGGGTAGTTCCCTAGGTACCATAACCATATTTCTTTAATGATTATTCATGATTTTCATAAGAAAAGTATAAATTTCATATTAAAGTATAGAAAATCAACATATTCATGAGAATAAAAGGAAGAAGGAAAATAAAATTCAAAAAATATAGAGGCAGAACCCTTATTTTTGTTATAGGAAAAGAAGAAAATAAAAAGTATTGGTAGTAGAAGAATATATGGAAGAGGAAAATGTGCTGATTAGATAAAATTTTAAGTTCTTCCTTACTTATTGGTTCAGGTTTTTAAGTCTTTGAGGGTTCAATACAGCATTTAAGTTCTATTTTATAATTATAATCTCAAAAAAGAATGAATAAAATAGTATTTTATGGTAGGAAGTAGAAAACTGCTAGGCGAGCCTCAAAGGGCACCTTGTCGCCTAGGCATCGCCTCGACAACTATGCCTGTAAAGAGCCCCATCACTTGCAGACCATATTTAAGTATTATCTAAAGGGTTTTTCAAAAGAATTTATATTAGTACATGTTTAACAAACACATCTGCATGCACACACGTAGCAAGAGACTGAGATGGTACAGAGGAAAAGATAAATAATGTATCGAAGGAAATGGCAAAATATCTAAAATATTGGAAGTTTTCTTTGCATTGGAAGTCCAAAAGAAATGCCAAGTTTTCATTAATTAAAAATGCCAAGGGGATAAAATCATATATGAAGGATCGCTATCCTATATATTTTAATCAAATTACCACATCCAAGGTTAAAATGAGAACATCATGGAAAAGTCACATTAATATGACTGTAATGTTGAAAATATTATTTTAGTCATGCTAGCCACATTTCAAACCAAAAATCAAAGAAATCATGTCAAGAGTACTGAAAAAAAACCAGCATCAGCTTAACTGAACTGCTCATTCAGGTGGGCACCTCAATAAACCAACATTATTGCTGATAAATATGCAAGAACAGGAGTCATAAGGGAATACCTGTCATAGGGGACACATCCAAAGAAATCATGTATAAAAAGTTTTTGAACAAAAAAAGGATTGCCCTCTAAACTGAACAGCTCATTCAGGTGGACGCCTAGATCAATCCAACATTATTGCTGATAAATTAGCAAGAGCAGGGACACAAGGAAATGTGTGTGATGGGGGAGGGGAGGTTCCTGGGAAGGGGTTTATAACAAGGTGATAGCATGTAGCAGATTCCAGATACCTTGGCTATTGTACTTGGGCCCTTGCTTCATTTTTCTTAAGTTGGAGGTTCCAATGATAAACTAATGAAATGATACTTACTGCTGATGATTAAAAGATGTGTCATAAAAGAGTAATAAATGATTTACCAATAGGTCCAATATTGTGCTCCCGACTGAAATCTATTAAGTCTTTCATACTACTTACAACTTCAGCTATCTGTTAACAGATACAGCACATAAATGTGAGAGCCAAGCAGAAAGGTAGAACAAACACTGCAGTGAAATTCAGAACAAATATAAATCAATTAATCAAATAACATCAGATACATGAAGATGTACCTGCAGCGATCGAACATATCTTTTTGAAAATCCCAGGTCATTAAGTGATTGTAACTCCAAATGTCTTGCCAACTGACGCCCAGCTGTCAGGAACCTTTTAAAAGTATAAAATATATATATCAACAACTTGGTCCACATGCATAGACACAAATTAACTTGTTGGCCGATATGTATCGTATCGGGGGGTTACCGATATGCCAAATATATAAGATCTGGTGTTCTGACCTGTTTCAAGGGGTAGAGAAGCCTTAGGCCAACCCCTCTAAACAGGTTTTTGAAAGGGCAGGGGGGATCAAAACACCCAATACACTCCATCTGGCATGTCAGTGTGTATTGATATTTGGAACCTTGGTTGGCATGTGACGCAAAGCCTCTCTTTGTTCAGGAGAACCAATGTTAGACAATGATGACCTGACAAAAGGGGCTAGATGTGGCAAAAATCCCTATGATGAGGAAAAAAGGAGGCCAAATTATGCTGATATGGTGTGCTTTAAAGAGGCAACGAAAAGAGGGTTCTCAACATACCGAACCTCGAAACAAAACCTGGTCATTGCCCTCTTATCCAAAGGACAAATTTGAAATCAGCAGAAGGGGTAGATAAAAAGCTGATGGTGTCAGATAGGTGGCAAATCAGTAATATACACCATCCAATTGGAATCTCAATAGACAGGACAATAAGAGAACCTAAACAAGTAGCTGAAGCAACTCAACCTAGACCAGATTGACACTGGAGCAGAACCAAACCAGGCTGATGGTGAAATCCCAGGTGGGCCAGGTGCATGTTACAACTTAATAGGTCATGTCATTTAGATAATCCCAAAAGAATTTGATCAGATGGCTTGGGTGACAGACAATGGTTTCCACCTATCATAGTTCCCACAAGAGACCTTTGTTTGGAAAAACAATCTAAGATGTACACAAGCAGGGAAAAAAAAGAAAAGAAAAAGTCTCTAATGGCGGCACCTCTAGACCATGTCATTAGAGATAAGAATGATGGGGACTTAATGATGACCGGGTTAACTATGAGGAGGAACAGGATATGCATGACATGTCAAGAATGGGCAGCTTAGACTCACAAAAAGCATAGAAGGTAGACAAGGACCAACACTAGGGCAAACATTCCATTTGCAGAAGACAGGTTGGAGAATGAAGACACACAATAGTGATGGCACTGAAAGAGGTCGCAAGACTAGTAACAATCCATGGAATCCAGCAAGGTACTATCTCAAGACTGAAACCTATCAAGGGAACAACAACCTACCAGATACTGAATTAATACACACGCACACACTGCACATTTTAATGTATGGAAAATGGATGGATGATTGAAACCACAATGAGGCCTTCTATGTTTGAAGACCTCCAAATTGATTCTTAAATGCTACCTCCCCTGATAAAAATCAAGAGGGTGACACATCCCAGAACCTTGTGGTCAAACTAAACAACCTCTAAATGCACAGTTTATTTCTTCCCCTAGCTCTCCTGCAACTTGTTATCTTGAAGGTACTCCAACTGTAGTTCATATTATTTCAGCTTCCTCACGATGTTTGAATTTTGCAGATTCAAATGCATCTAATCACACTTAACTTAATGATTCTATATCTGAGGGAAATACAAGGGGGTTGGGGTAAGGAAGACTAGATGAAGGGGAAGGGAAGATCCAGAACCTAATCCAGATAATCTTTGGTGAGCTAGTTGAGTTTTAATTAGATATTGAGGCAAACTCTTTTTGAGGGAAGGTGACACTCCCCCTTTTTTGGCCGCTTCTGTACAGGTAGCTCCATAACCAAACCACACCCAAATCCTTGACCCCCAATCAATTACATGTCAAGAGAAAGAAACAACTAAAGTTAACATAAGAAGAAAGAAGAAAGAAGAAAGAAGAAAGAAATTGATGAAGTTAAATAGGACATCAATTATGAAAATTAGAGGGGGATAAAGAACAATGGAAGAAGGGAGATAAATAGAAGATCTCAAAGGGATTAAGGAAAACAAAGCAATATAGAATACTTCTTTTGAGGGCTGAAAGCATCCAAAAAGTGAATCAATTGTTTGGCATATCACATAATGTTACTTTTCACTCCCTGGAAGAATATTGCATTTCTCCAATGTAGAATATTGCATTTCCACTTTATCAATTTCCAATAAAAAGTATAACCAGCTCAACTAGCTAGAACCATGAATAGGTTGTTGGTCACCTGATGCAACATAAATATAGAATTTTGTTGATGATTAATACAAGTAAATTGTGCATTGACTATCATGACCATGACCATCTTCTTTCCACTAAGATTGAAGGTTAAAACCATGGTTAGACCTAAAAAGGGTGTAAGGATAAAACCACTAAAAGAGTTTATTTGACAACCACAGAAAAAAAGATAAAGAAAAAGAAGTTTCATGATATTGCACCTTTCTTATTTGTGACCCCTAGAGCAAGACTGACTGCTAGTGTATTGGCTGAACTTGCTGTCAACTAATTGAATTATGAAGAGTGAAAGTTAATGATTTTTTACCTAGAGCAACCATATGCTAAGGAGATCGGCCAATTAAGCTATCCCTCAATTGAAGTTATTAATTAAAATGTCTCAATATCATTGAGTGAATCATAGTTATGGGAGGAAAGAAATGCAAGAATCTTTAACGAGCAAGAAAGGAAAAAGGGGGGCGATAATTGAGTGTATCATGGTTAGAGTGGTGCATAGAATCAAGGTTGTGGTTCAAAAAAGCTGGACACCACCTGAGAGAGGCTTTATAAAGTTTAATTTGATGGCAGCAGCATTGGAAATCCAAGGGCTTTTAGAGTGGGAGGAATCTTTAGAGATGAAGATGGTCATGTAATGACAATGCTTTCAGGCCCAATTGGAATTGATAGTCCCTGGAGAAATAATATAATAGGTCCCATAAAAGGAGTGTCAAACAGGCATATGGACCTAATTAAGTACATTAATGATGGTCAATGACTGATGTAAGAACACCTGGGGGAGATACAGGAGTTTGTAATAAAAGCAGGACTTCATCAAGGGTCAGCATTTAATCCTTATTTATTCACACTAGTCATGAATGAATTAAGAAGCATGTTAGGAAAGAGGTTTCATGCAAATGTTGAATGGCATAGTATTAATTTGATGAAACTAGAGTGGAAAATGTAAAAGTGGATCCATGGAGACTGCATTACAATCAATAGGTACTAACTACTAAGATAAATAGGATTAAAATAGAATTTATGAAACATAAATTTAATAGTTAAGATTGGAGATCAAAAGATGCCTCAATCTGACATCTTTCATCATACTGGTTTGATAATTCAAAACATTGGAGAGGTCAGGACTCGGGAGGATGTCATTCATGGAATTAGAAAGGAATAGATGAATTGGATGGGCGCATCTAGAGTTTTGTGATCAAAGAGTACCACCTAGGCCTAGGCTAGATGGTAAATTTTTATATAACAGTTAAAGCCAAAATGTTGTATGCAGTAGAGTGTTGGGCAGTCAAAAAACATGTCCAAAAAATGAGTATGGTAAGATATGAACGTTTAGAGGGACAAATATAAAACTAGAAAATATAGGATTCAAAAATGAGCATATTCATGGGAATCCACAAGTAGCCCTGAAGGTTGAGAAAATGAGCAAAATAGACTAAGGCGGTCTGGTCATATGCATAGAAGACCATCTACAGCATTAGTAAGAATAACTGATCTATTGCAAATTTAAGGGTCTAAAAGAGCCAGGATTGCAGCAAAAAGGATATTCATTGAAGTAGTGTGGTTGGCACAAAAATCTAATTAATATAGCATAAAAAGGACTAGCTGTGGAATAATATAGAGCAATTCTAACAATCATAACATCACTAAGCCTTTGGGAATAGGAAATATTGTCTGGCTAGACAAATGTTTGTGGACTCACATATTGCAGTTTGCCTGTAAATCCTGTGCTGAAAGCCCAGCAGCTCCACTCTCAGAAACAGCAGATTGGTATTTTTGTGCAACCTGCACCAACTGATTCACCTGCAAAGTGCAAAAACATGTTTCAAACTGCAACATATTTGAAGGCATTGGTAAAAAAAGAACCAACATATATAAACAACACCTGAACCAATTATTTCCATTTGAAAAGATAGGAAATAACTCTTTCATCATTAACCATAAATTTTGTTAAGAAATGAGGTTGAAAAGACCAACTCCCAAAAAGATAGGATAAAGAAGAAAAAGAAACAAGAACCTCAAACAAATAAAACAGCAAAGGAGAATACAGAACAAAACAACCATTATTCCATTAAGAGTTTGCAATTTCAGCCAACCATAGCCACAAAAAAAAACCTTCCGCCATGTTGAATGATCTTAGAACCAATCTGAATGAAACCCTGATGTGATGCAGAATAACCCAAGGACAGTAGAACCATCCCGTATTCCTAATAAGTTACTTTGATCTCATTATTGCAGTTAAGGAGTAAAAAAAAACATATCCTTTTAACTTCTAAGGTTTCAGTTGATTACCAAGATATCTTTGTTTTTCTGGATGCTTTACCATACCTAATGTGGTTATGAAGAATCAAAGATGAACTCAAAAAGTACATCAAATGATATTACTTCAAAAAGCTTCCAAAAGTCAAAAGGCCAAATTGAGGAGACAGAGGAGGCAGAAACAGAGACACAAAGTAGGAGATCACTTCAACCATAAACAACTTCTTATTCAGATCCAAATGTTTATAAGACCACTAAAAAACATCAAAATAATATTTGAACATGATTTAGACTCAGCTTACCAAGCCCCATTATGTTTAGTCCATAAACCAAATTGACCCAGAAACATTGCACCAAGTAAAAAGAAAGAAAAAGTAAAAGCACAAAAAAGAAACCTGTGGTGCCACCAGCCTACGGAGGAAAAGTTCCTCATGACGTCGTGCACAGAATTCCCAAGACAGAATCTGGAACAAGAAAAAGAAGGAATGATTTAAAAAAAAATGAATAATCACCAACAAAAACAAAATCAAGGATAAAATAACAGATTGATAATCCTAAAGTACATGGTTGATTGCTTACCTTCAAATCATGAGTGAATACAATACGAAGTTGACCCTCACGAACAACACGGAGATGTTCATAAACACTTTCTTGAACTGCTTTTCCATACTCCAGAATCATTATTCCTGAAGGATACTTACATTCACGTGGCATATCCACAAACAAAAGCTCATCAATAACACCACTGTCGAACTTTATGTTATTAAGCCTTGGGAGTACTTCATAAGTTGCCTCTGTCACAAAAATAATGAAAAAGAATCAAATAACTAAATAAAGAAAAATAAATAAAAATTCCTATTAAAGCCTCAAAGGAAATGGTTTAGTTGGGAACATTGTTGATTTTTTTTATAGTTGTTAGGAACATAGTTGATGCATCAAATTGAAGACAGCCTAGCCAAGCATCATGCAGCTAAATAAGGTTCAGTGAGCAAGTAATAATGCAGTAACTAGGGCAGTAAAAGGACTGGATATATTATATACCTAGATACAAATCTAATTGTATTATTCAGACAATTGAATCTTCATCCATGGATTCCTATTGGACTTGGATCAGATTTGAATATTATATACCATTAATAAATTAAACTGAAAAGCGACCAGAAAATACGTTGTTAATAAGATGGACTAGAAATAACTAATATTATATGTCACTGATAAAATGAGTTAAAAACAACTTCCATAACTTGAAATTAAGACCCTTACAATACTTCAACAATTTCCTAATATATATATATATATATATATATATATATATATTAGATCAAGTTTTAAATTTAGATGTTTTTTATCAATAACTGAGATTTTATTAAGAAACCAAATTATAGGTACAGATGCGCATCATCCAAAGAGAAGTACAATTACCTCCCTATTACATACATCTTACAAACTAACTCATCCCTTTACATTCCGCTTCACAATTGTACCCAAAACATTTGCTCTTGTCCCACTCCTTGTTTAGCCAAATTGTCAGCTATACCATTTATATCCCTATAACTGGTTTTGAATTCGGACTTGAACAAGCAGATACTATTTACACCCCTAGTACTGAGCATGCAAATGTATTAGAAAAGAAAATGAAGATACAAACAGAACCCTGGCAGTTCATTTATCAAAAAAAAAAAAAAAACAGAACCCTGGTAGTTAAACCCCAAGCCAAAAGATGGCGTATAACCAATCTAGCTACAATAAACTAATGCAACGGCAGCAGAAACCAACAGTAATCATGGTAATTTCTTAAAGCAAACACCCTTGACTGACCTAAGCATTCCAGCTAGATTCATATTACTAGCAACCAAAAAAAATCAACCTAAACGCACTTGAAGTAGACCTAAAAGCTCCAGTTATATTTACTAGCAAAAAATATCCATCAACTAAAGCTAATATAAGCTCCCAACATGCTCATCAGATAATACTTCTGCAAAAGATAACTTAGTTTGGCAAGGGCCCAAAGCAGTCATATTACCTATCACAACATGACCAATATGGTAAGTCATGTCTCTTTTTTTATAAATGAATAAGATTTTATTAAAGAGAGATCAAAATGACAAGTCAATACAGGCTGCCCATGGAGAGGCACGAGCTGATACCTCTCCTAAACAACAAAACATTATTACATCAGACTAAAAAGCAACAAGTTACAGAGCTGCCCAAAATAATTGTTCCCTTGAGGCCCCTTGCTTAGCTAACCCATCTGCAATGGTATTAGCTGTTCTGCCCGCCCACTGTGAGGTAACAGTCATGTTCCTTGAAAACCAATTAACATTCCACAGAAGGACCCTGTAGCACCAAATAACTGAACCTGGATTTGTCAGCCATCCCACAACTTTGGAATCTCCTTCAATAAGGAAATTCTGAACTCCTAACTGTTCTGCAATCTGAATACCATGTACAGCCGCTAGAAGCTCAGCTCTATTAGAATCTCCTATACCCACAGGGCCTGAGAACAAGGCTAAAATGTTGCTGTCTTTATCTCTCAGCACCCCTCCTATCCCTGAAGGACCTGGGTTGCCTTGGCCGCTACAATCAAAATTCAACTTTAACCAACCTTCCAAAGAAGGCACCCACACAGCTGGTATCCTGTTCTTCCTGATATGGTTATTAGCCACAACTATCCAATTCCTCCAAATATCATCAAAAGAGAATGTGTGAAAAGAGTTCTTCCTGGTATCTTGTTCTTCCTGATATGCCGGTAGGGGTGTATCGGACTGTGTCGGGGCTCACTCCCCCTTTTTTTTAGTTTTTTTTTTTTTAAACTTGGTTCAAAGGGGTCAAGTTAAGGCATGTCTACCCCCTGAACCAGGTTAAATCCCGAAACACCCCCTGTAGAGGCATATTGGGAAGCCCCTGATACAATATGTATCGGCCGAAACAGCCTGATACGTATCGAAATTTTGAACCTGGGTCAAAATACAATCCTTTACAGTCTGAATATTTCTCTACTTCTCTTGGAATAGCCTCGCATTTCTTTCTTCCCAAATTGTCCACAAAGCAGCAGCTCTAATGCATTTCCACATTGTTCTACCATTTTTTATGGGCCACACAAAGGAGGAAGGGTCAAAGAGCTATCCTACGGCTGTAGTCAGATTACACTTGCACCCAAACAAGGCAAAGATCCAACCCCAAATAGCAGCAGAAAAGGAACAGGTTAAAAGCAATGTTTTAAAACGTGGAGGTGTGACGTGAGGCGTTCCACTACCTAGGGGCGTGAGGCGTAGTTCAGAATGCAAGAGGCGTAAGCCTCCCAAACACAAGGAGGCATAAGCCTCCTTACGAGGAGGGGGGTTAGGAGGAGGATGAAGATGAATGAGGGATTTCATTTTTTCTTTATTTTTAATAAAAATCTTTTATATTAAGAAGAATAAAGATGCATAACATTAGTTGAAAGGGGGGGGGGCTCTTGTCGAGTGGAGGCAAGCTCGCTTCGCTTGCTCGCCAGAGAAGGGGGCAGGGGGCAAACCACTTTCTTTCCCCTTATCCTTTCTTCCCTTTTCTTTCCTTTTCTTTTTTTTCTTCTCTTTCTTTTTCTTTCCCTTCCCTTTATTTTCCTTTCATTTTTTTTCTTTTTTCTTGTTTTTTTCTTGTCTTTTTATATCAGATGTGCATGAGGCGT